AAACGTAACGCTGTTACGAAAACCTGATCATTGGTAAAATTTTCTTTTTATATAATTCAGCAGATATTTCAATTTTATCAGTTTCAGATGATCACTAAGTAGAATTTAAACTTTATTTCGATTGCCGTACAGAATGACATTTGCATTATTTTTTTAATTTTATTATTTTGATACTTCAACTCAGGTTATAGAGGAGTGTTGTACGTGATCAGTCCCAGAAACGAATTTTTGAAAACATCAAGGAGTAATTTGATTCAGGCATTTTGAAGGGTTGTTTAAGTCTCATCGAAAAAATAAGAATTCTATGTCGTCTTTGAGAGATTCGTTGTCACTACCGACCGTAGTAATCTCTTAGAACGTCTCGTTTTGAGGAGAGCGCCTTCTTGTAGAAGCACATGTGTATAAGAGAGTTCTGTATGTACTGTAAATCAAAAGCCTAACTAACGAACGTATAGCCGTCTCTATGAGGCAGTTTCAAGAAATGAGTGCGTATTTTTTATTTATCGTTGTGGTGGTTCGTGCAGTGAGAATAAACAGTAACAGAATCCTTCTATGTATCGAGAACAATTACAACTCTTATCGCCTTTTTAGGTGTATGTGAAGAGAGTGAGTGTGGAGTATTGAATTTTTTCCGTGATTGTGAAAAGCCTGAACTACCGATTCTTGCGTTTCAAAAAACTTGTACACTTCCACAGATTGGTACGCATCAAATTTGTTGTCCAAATGGTTGTTTCTATCGTCAATGTGGTAAACTATGTTCGGATCTGGCTTTACAAGGCGTGGTAGAAGTGCCTACTAAAAAGTGTGACCTGACAAGCACTGTTACATCACTCCAACAGTTTTGCTGCGAACGTATGTGTATATCTGCATTAATTCAATACTTTTACTTGTTTTGAACCTCTCTGAAACCTTTTAGTGAATGAAACAACAACTTTAATAGAAATAGTCAAAGTACCAGCTATAACTGAATCAATGAGTAAGTCCGAAATTCTAAAGCGAAGGAAAACGAGTAAATCAAGGAGTAGATGTATTTAGTCTAGATAGATTAGTCAGATGTGAAAAATGAGTATTTAGAGACAATTATACACTCTAAAAGAAAAGCGTAGTTTTAAAAACTTAGGGTTTAGAAAAATGACGCTACACAGAACAAATAAGGATTTAGAGGTTTCCATAAACAGCGTTTAGAAGAGATTTTAGTAGCTCTTCAAAACCCTTATTCGTTTCGTATGGTTTCGTTTTCCTAAACCCTTCTGAAGAAGGTTTACTAACTTTGCTCGTTTGTACAGCTTCCGGATAACTTCGAATATCAAGACAACTTATACGATTTAACTGTTTTTTTGAAAATGATAAAAGTGATAACTTTCTAAATCTGGATAAATAAAGCAGAACTGAAGTTTGAACGGAAAAAATTAGGACGTGATCCATAACATTCAACTCGTTGGTTAATATAAAGTGTTTGATTAACTCTTTAAAAATAACCTTTTGATTTTTGCCCAAACTGAAAAATCCTTTGTTACCTGAAAAACCCAAAACAATATTTTTCTAAGCCAAATGGGGTTTGAAAAAAATGCTTTTAGTGTTTTTACTAAAGCTAGAAAACACTTTGACTTTTTCTAAAGAACGCTTTTTAGGTTTTTGGTCAAATAGAAAACCCCTTTCTGTTTTTGAATTGTGAAAACCTGTGTTGTCGAAAACATTTTGTTTTCTGATAGAAAAACAAATCGCACACTATTATTAACCCTTTGAGTCCCATAGTATAAAAAAAGCTACACTTGTTTTATAATTATTTTTCACAACTTAATTTATAAAAATTAGTACGTAATCTCTTGGAATGAAGCAATGGAGCATTAGCTAATAAATAGCAAATGCACTTATGTGGCACTGTCTGTAAAATAAACTAGGAGAAAACGATTTTATTAAATCAAATATATTTTATTTATCTAAGAATCATATGAGTCTTCATTTTTATTCTTAAGGGTTCGAACTATCATTTACATCCCATTATATTTTCTGAAGTGTCGGCTTCAAAAGTATAAGGGTACTTCCGCACAGGTCCGCCCAGTATTACATGAGCTAAAAGCCGGGAAGATTTGACTACACCAGCTTTTCCCAGCATATCAACGGCATGTAGCTTCTCTGCAGTTGACCATTGTCGGCGTTTACTCTTGCATGATGGACTCTCCTCCCCTGAGTTAGATACAGCTGATGATGAAGCAAGCAAGGACGATTGATCAGTTGATACAATATGCGCATTCAGAACATCTAGATCTTCATTGAGTTCAGTATCATTTGAGTTCAAGACTAAATTCAACTGTTGAACATCAGTTGCCTCTTCGTCGTTGTTATCTTCCTCATTATCATCGAGATTAAAATGATTCTTGATCGAAATGTCAATATTGTCTGTTTCATCAACGATCGATACTACTTCGAGATCAGATTCATCCGAACTTGTGTCATTATTATCATCCGATTCAGTTTGTGGTAACGTATACAAATGACAATCAGTGTTCATGGGAGAAAAGCTTCGAAGTATCACAGAAAAGAAATACTAAACAAGGCGAATTAGATAAAGTGTAATTTGATAAGTGCTGACAAAATGACTCTCTTGATTAGGAAAAACATGGATATTTATATATAACAGCAGACGAGAAAAGCAAAAGAACATATATACAAACGAGACGGAAGAAAGAAAGAGAATGATGAATATATAGACGAATGTATGGTCGAGGACAATATGTAGCAAGACGACGTCTACTCTTTCGATTTTTTACTATTTGTCTATCTTTCTCACTCATTCATGTAGACAAACCTATTAGAAGGCCATGGCCTTCTAATAGGGCGTTTGAACTTTTGTCCGAACATGGCCTTATACAGGGGGTGGCCTTCTAATATAGGGTGGC